CCAGAGGTTTATTTGCTATAAGTGTTGATACCCATAGTACATGTTCTCTTGAGAATTATCTTGTCTCTTCTTGACTCCTGGGATTCTCCATAAATTTGAGAATTGATTGTCACTTTCAAAAATGAACCTCTTCATTTTTATTGTAATGATATTGTAATGATACTGAATCTATAGATCAATTTGGGGAGAACTTGCCTCTTTACAGTACTTCATCTTCCAGTCAGTGTACATGGTATATCTTTCCATTTAATTTTAGTTGACTTTTCTCACTAATGTAWAGTTTTATGTGTAGAGGTTTTAAACTTTATGTATTTGCAGGGATCAACAGAATTTTTCTGTGTAGGGCCAGGTATTTTAGGTTTTGTGAGCCATATGATCTCTATGGCAGTTGCTTAGCTCTGCTGTTGTAGCATGAAAGACAATATGAAAAATGGGTGTGGTGTTAGCCAGTGAAACTTTATTTATTTATAAGTCAAGTACCTGGCTGGGTTTCACCCATAAAATATACTTTTGATGACCCTGATACATGGTATTATCTTTTAGAAGTTTTATTCCTAGTTGTATCATATAGAAATACATCTGATCTTATATATGGCAACTTTGCTAAATCCACATATTCTAATAGTTTTTCTTTCTAGTTTGGAGAATTTCTACATTTGGAATTATGTCATATGCAAACACTTAGTTTTACTTTTTCCTTTCTAATCCTTGGAACTTTTATTTTTCTTGCCTAATCCACTGGCTACAATCTCTGCTATGTTGAATAGAGTCATGGGGTCAATCTTTTTGCTTTAAATCTGTACCTTTTATCAAATTAAATAAATATTTGTATTTCTAATTTGCTGTTTTAATCATGATCAAGTATTTAATTTCATGAGTTTTTTCTACTGTATATATTAAGGTGGTCCTATGAATTTGTCCTTTTTTAAAAAATATTTTTTGTTGTAGATGGACAGGATACTTCTATTTATTTATTTATTTTTATGTGGTGCTGCTGAGGATTGAACCCAGTGCCTTACACATGCTAGGCAAGCGCTCTGCCACTGAGCCACAACCTCAGCTTTGTCCTTTATTAATGTGTGAAATACACTAATTGATGTTTGAGAGTCACCTGTACTTTCTTGGAATAAACCTAACTGGTTTGATGTATTATCCTTTTTATATAATTCTAAGTTATATAYTTAAAAAAAGTCCTATTTGCTAATAGGACTTTTACATCTAAATTCATGAGAGAGATTGCCCTTATTTTTTTAACCATTTTTTCTGGGACTGGTGTCACAGAGCAGGTTGAAACATTTTTCTTCTTTTTCTATTCTCCGGAAGAGTTTATATAAAATTGGTGTTATTTTCCCTTAAAATTTTGTAAAAAAATTCCCTGATGGGCCTTTTCTGTGAGAAGGCTTTTAATTTCTTTTTCTTTTTTTAATTGTAGTTGGATACAATTCCTTTATTATATTTATTTATTTATTTTTATGTGGTGCTGAGGATCGAACCCAGGCCCTTGCACATGTTAGGCAAGCACACTACACACTACCACTGAGCCACAACTCCAGCCATAAGACTTTTAATTTCTGATTCAATTTAATTGATCAGCGTAAATCTATTAATTTATTTATAATCTATTTCCTATTTCTTCTTAGGTCACTTTTGGTAAGTTGTGTTTTTCAAAGAATTTTTTCATTCATTTAAATTCTCATATGTGTGAAACTTTTTAAAATATTTTTTTTTTTGGTTGTAAATGGATCTTTCATTTTATGTATGTATGTATATATTTATATGCCATGCTGAGGACAGAACCCAAGGCCTCATACAATGCCAGGCAAGTGCACTACCACTGAGCCACAACTCCAGCCCCTGAAACTTTTTCTTTTTTAACAAGTAAAACAATCTAATTTTTTGTTCTGATATTAGTAATTTGGTTTCATTTCACTCTCTCCCCCCTTAGCTTTGTTGTGTTTAATCACTTTTGTACCTTTTCGGGAATCAACTTTCTGCTTTGTCATCTTTCTCCTCTATTTTTRCTCTAATTGCTCTGGATTTAAGTTACTTTATTTTAGCTTCTTGGGAGCATACTTACTGTCTTCTTTCATTTGWATTTAAAGTCATAAGTTTCCTGTTAAACACGGCCTTAACTCATCCCACAAGTTTTCTTATTTTCATTATCATTTCAACGTAAGACATTTWATTTTCCATTGTGATATCTTCTTTGGCCTGTGGGTTTTAGAAGTGTATTGCTTAATTTCCAGAACTGTGGGTATTTGTTATTATTTGTTTTAGTTCCGATTTACAGCTTAATTCTATTATGGTGAGAGAATATGACCCATCACATGATCAGTTTTGATAAATACTTCATGTATATTGAATATGATTTTGCATTTGTTTTATACTATATTCTATATGTATCAAATGTGTTCATCATGTTTAAATTTGTTTTACTTTTTAAATTTATTTATTTATTTTTGTTTTTTTAGATATATATGATTGTAGAGTGCATATTGTACATTCATGGAGTATAATTTATTCTACTTAGGATTCCATTCTAATGGTTGTACATGATATGGAGTTTTACTGTGGTATATTCATGTATGAACATAGGAAAGTTATGTTTGATTCATTCTACTGTCTTTCCTATTCTCATCCCCCCTCCAATGAACTTCTCTTGTTCCCTCTCCCCCTTATTGTGCCTAAGCATCCACATATCAGAGAAAATTTTTTGCCTTTGGTTTTTTGGTATTGGCTTATTTCACTTAGCATGATAGTCTCCAGATCCATCGATTTATTAGCAAAAGTTATAAAGTCATTCTTTTTTTTACGGCTGAGTAATATTCCATTGTGTATATATACCACATTTTCTTTATATCCATTCATTTGTTGAAAGGCACCTAGGTTGGTTCCATACCTTAGCTATTGTGAATTGAGTTGCTATGGACACTGATGTGGCTGTGTCACTGTACTATGCTAATTATAAGTCCCTGGTACATACTGAAGAAGAGGATAACTGGGTCAATGGTAGTTCCATTCCAAGTTTTCTGAGGAATCTCCATATTGCTTTCCAGAGTGGTTGGGCCAATTTGCAGTCCCGCCAGCAATATATGGATGTGCCTTTTCCCCCATGTCCTTGCCAACTTTTATTGTTAACTTGTATTCTTTTTTTAAAAATATATTTTTTAGTGGTAGTTGGACACAGTACCTTTATTTATTTATTTTTATGTGGTGCTGAGGATCAAACCCAGGGCCTCGTACGTGCTAGGCCAGCACTCTGCTGCTGAACCACAGTCCCAGCCCAGTTAACTTGTATTCTTTTTTTAAAAATATATTTTTTTATTTTTTAGTTTTCGGCAGACACAACATCTTTGTTTGCATGTGGTGCTGAGGATCGAACCCGGGCCGCACGCATGCCAGGCGAGCGCGCTACCGCTTGAGCCACATCCCCAGCCCTAACTTGTATTCTTGATAATTGTCATTCTGATTGGAGTGAGATGAAATTTCAGTGTAGTTTTAATTGCATTTCTCTAGTTGCTAAAGAAGTTGAACATTAAATGTCTTATATTCTTACTGATTTACTTATTTTATCAGTTTACTGAGATTAGATTTGTTAAAATCTTCCCCTGTTATTATGGATCTTTTTTATCTTTTTCTGTATTAGGTACGAATTTAGGATTATTATATCTTCCTGGTTGAGTTAACCTTTTATTATGAAATGTTGCTTATCATTTTTTTGTGAAATATCTTGTCTTTAGATCTTTGTAAAATGTTAGTAAAACTTTTTTCTTTTTTTCCAGGGYTGAGGATAGAACTCAGGGCCTTATGCTAGGCAAGCCCTTTACCACTGAACCACACCCACAGACTAACAACTTTTTGGTTAGGGTTTGCATCTTAAACATTTCTTCCTGCTCAGTCTTTCAATACCCTTATGTTTAAAGTATTCCTCTTATGAGTTGCATATAGTTAAATATTTTTAATTTAGCCTGTCTTGGTCCTTTTTTTTCTTCAATATTGGGGATTGAATCCTAGTGTACTCTATCTCTAAGCTACACCCTCAGTTCTTTTTATTTATTTTATGACAGGATTTCACTGAATTTCCCAGGTCAGTTTCCTAAGAAGTTGGGATTATAGGCATGTACTACCACACCTGGCTCAGTCTTGTGTCATTTAATTGAACTTTTAATGTAATCACCCACATCTCTGTATCATATTATTATGATTTCATTGTGCAATTTGTTTTCTATAGTCCATATCCCTTTGGAGTCATACACATAGCTAACCCTTCTAGTACTCTGTTACTTCTTGCATTTTCATAGTTCCATGTGGGATTATTTTCTTTCATGCAAGTAGCTCCTTTTGGTGTTTTTAGTATAAATCTGCTGGCAGTACATTTTCTATTTTTGTCTGAAAACATCTTTATTTCATTGCATTTTAAAATTTTAAGCATTTTTTTGCAGAGTATAGAATTATAGATTGGAAGTTATTTTTATTAATAATTCAAATATATCGTTGTTTGTAGGTCCAATTAGTCTTATTTTTTGAATATGTGTCTTCCCCCCCCCTCAGACTTTATGATTTTGATTTTCAGCAGTTTTATATCATGTTAGACATTGTTTTCTTTATTCTGCTTAATGTTTGTAGAATTTAACTCATTAGTTGACATTTTTTATTCATTTTGGAAAATTTGGCTACTATCTCTTCAAATAATGTGTTTACCTCATTCTTTCTTCTGTTTCTTCTTGGACTCCCATGGTATGGTTGGTTGGTTTTGTTGTTTCTGTGACCTATATCTTTACTGATTTTTCTAATCCATTTTTTTCCCAGATTTGTTTTAATCAGGTTACGAACTTTTATCTGTTTCGTTTCCTTTATCACTTTTTCTTACTATTTAGTTGGCTTTTACCTCTATTAAATTCCTTATTTCTGTTACTATATTTTTTTGTTCTAAGATTACCATCTGATTTATATGTRAGATTTTTAAAATTTCATACACACACACACACACACACAGTCAGAGATTCCAGTCTTTGGTATGTGTTCTCCATCTTTTAACATATTTTACTGGCTGTACCTGGTAACTCAGATAGCAGCATCCCTTGAATCTGTTTCTGTCTTTTTCCTCATGATTTTCAGTCATCTGTTTCTCTTTTTCCAGTATCCCTGGCAATATTTTGATTGAGTTTTTTTCTGGCAGGCAGATAGCCTATGGATAGATCACCTTGATCTAGTTGAGGTCTAGTTTCTGTTTGCCCTTCCTCTTAGGATGTAGCCCTTTTCTAGGGCCCTCGATTGAAGGTTTGAGAGTGTTTTGGGGACATGTCTACCAAAGCCCCTTTTCCTTGGCAGGCCTTAAACTCCAACCTCTGTTCTATCAAAAATCTCTACTTAGCAACTTCTTTTCATGTAGTCTCTTAGTTCCAAGTCACATGTGCACTGTTCAGGAATTAGCAAGTGTCAAGAGGGCAAATTACATGCAGAATGTAGGACTCCCTTCTCTGTGGACTCTTAGCCCATAGAAAGGCTGCTTTGGTGACACTGGTTTCCAGTCTTTGTTCTCCCTATACTGAAACTGCCATGAAATGTAAAATGTAGCCTATAGCTTCCTGTCCAGGCCTTGTACCTTGAGATACAAATAAGCAAATTGTCTGAAAGGAAACGCTGCAGAGAGAGCCAGATAACTTCATAGCATTTATCTTTACTCCTCAATCCTGGCTGTTTGGATTGTACCCTAATGCCTTCAGACCATCTTTCAGTTTCCTTGCTTGCTTATTTATATTTGYTATTTTATTCAGCTTGCATAGTTCTCTGAGAGAATTTCCGCCTTATACCTTCTGCTGGGCTGTGGGTAGAAGTGCAAGTCTTGAAATCCTGCATTTGAAATCTTGCAGCCTCAGAACAGCTTTCCTGGCTTAGCCTCTTCACAGCCATCTGTTTTGCCCACCCAGTTCTCATCCTAGATGTTCCTCACACCCTTCCTGCTGCCCCCCCCCCCGTCCCCAGTCTTCTTCATTTCCACCCAAACTCTAACTATTCCTTAGCTAGTAGTTTCTACTCTTCTAGGACACCATGACCCAAAGATTCTACTTCTGTGAATTCACAGCACCAATTGAGTGGCCACAGTCTTGATGCTTTACATAATAGGAAATACTCTGCATTTTGCTTTTATCCAGTTAGGTGAGGGCAGGGACCTTGTGGTAATAYCCCTCACTATCCAATTTGATATGCTGCATATCTTGCAGGATAAAGCATCTTCTGCCAACGTAGAACCTGACCAAACAGCAGAGATCAGTGAGCAAGATGTTTTGGAAAGAAATCAGGAAACCATGAAAGCCATTCTGCAAGCATATCATTTTACAGGTATAATATTTCCTGGCCTGAACTCATCCTGGGTCCCTGTCTCTAGTGAATTAATGTGCTACATGTGTTTTAATCCTGGACTAGTTCCTGAGAATTTGTTTTGTAGTCCTTTCTTGCATCATACACACACATAGAAAGTTGGCGTGTTGTTTAACAGGCACGTTTACCTGTAAGATTGGTTTCTTTGTACAGATTGAGACCATTCATTTTAGCAAGTCATCATGTGCCAGACCCTATACTTGAATTTTCTTTACTATTGGCCTGCTTTGTGCTGTTGGTCGTGATAATTTGAATTCCTTATATCTCTGTTTCAGCATAGATGGGGATTTATTCTCCCATTTATGATATAAGAGGATTGTGGGAAGAATGGGGTTATCACAAATTATTTGACACTCATGAAGAAAAGAAAAGGTAACGTGGGTATATAGCTCAGTAAGACAGCTCTTGCCTCGCATGTTMAAGGTCCTGGGTTTTTTCCCTAGTATCATCCAAAAAAAAAAAAGAAAGAAAATTTCCAGAAATTTTCCTGAATAGTTTGATATTTAGTGTGTCTTTTTTCTTTTGTTTTGTGGTAACGGAGATTGAACCTGGGGCACTGAGTTGCCCAGGCTGGCTTTGAACATTCATGATTCTCCTGCCTTAGTCTCCCCAGTTGCCGGGATTATAGGCATGCACCCTCACACCTTTTCCTTCCCACTCTTCCATGATTTTTACAACTCAGTCTTAATATGAGCCAGAATCAAGGGGAGGAGCTGCTGATATTTATTCATTCAAGAAGCATTTGGGCACATATGCCAGGCTTGTGCAAGCTACCAGTATGTTCATATGAATAAGGTACTACCTTTGCCAGCATCTGTTGATTGGTATTGCCTTATGTTTGCTTCAGGGCTCAGTGGAAAAGTGACCAGCCGTGGAGCCTGTGTCTGTATCAGCACTGCTTTTGAGGGGAACCTACTAGATTCCTATTTTGTGGACCTTGTCATACAGAAGCCACTCCGAATCCATCATCATTCCATCCCAGTATTCATTCCTTTAGAAAAAATTGCTGCAAAATACTTACAGACTGATATTCAGCAGTTCCTGTTCAGTCTGTGTGAATACCTAAACGCTTATTCTGGGAGGAAGTACCAGGCAGATCAACTTCAGGTATTTGTCTAGGATCCTATATACTTCATTTTATGGACTGAGATAAACTGAAAAGGAATACAAAAGGACAAGTTCTCTTGTATTTTAAATATTTCTTAACTCCGAGCCAGAAGTTTGTTCATTACCTTTCTGATACTTAAAAATATACAACCTAGGGCTGGGGCTGTAGCTCAGTGGCAGAGTGCTTGCCTAGCATACGTGAGGCACTGGATTCGATTCTCAGCACTGCATATAAATAAATGAATAAAATAAAGTTCCATCAATAACTAAAAAATTTTAAGAAAAAAAATGTACAAGCTATTTTTCACCCCTTTTTTCTTACTCTCTTAAAACTTGGATGATGATGCACTCTGGTGGTGGTTCTCAAACTTTTTAACACAAGATAGTGGAAATGATTGCTATACTTTTAATTCAGCCAGAATTTGCAGAGTACCTGACTGAGCCTTGAATATAGATGCATAATACCATAGAGGAATGCGATCCATCTTCTGGAGTTCTGGCCTATCTTCTAAGAATGGCAGTTGAGCTAAGTTTGAGGTGAAAAACAGATGGGAAATAGATGCAAATAGGGAATAGGTGACTCTTTTAAATTTTGCATTTCCCCCACCTATGCATTTGGAATGAGTCTGAAACTCTCACTTGTCAGTTAAACTTAACTTGATATGTGAATGTAGACATGAAATGTCTTAACCAAATACAGTAATGCCAGTGAAATTCTTGGCAGAAATGGTATCTCCTTCACCCACAGCCATGGTCATTTACTTAGAAAGTGCTTCCTGTGGGCCTTGCACACTTGCAAGGCTGCCAAAGTCTCTCAGTGACTTTCTTTTTTTTTTTTTTTTTTTTTTTTTAATGACAGGCAACTTGCCATTTCCTAGGCTGGTCTCAAAAGGTGTGTCGGTCTTAAGTGATATTTCTGCCTCAGCCTCCTGAGTAGCTGGGAGTAACTGTACTTGGCTTCTTTATCTTATGTATGTCTTTCATTAGTCTTTTTTTTTTTTTTAAGCATTTTTCTGTTCATTTATTTTTCTGAAATTTAATGAATGGGCCCTCTTTTGGTAGATACCTTTGAGGCATCACAACTGCCTGTGGAGCAGCAATCCTCATACACTTGCTTTGTTCCTCGCCTTACTAGAATGACTTCGCAGCCCTTCTGACTGGGCCCTTGCAGAGAAACTCTCTGTGCAACTTGCTGTCATTTACTTATAAAGTGGATCTGGGGGATCAGTCCTTCCCTTTTTGTGCCAGATTGCTATATAAGGACCTCACGAGAACACTTCCAACTGATGTCACCATTACATATCAAGGTATGAGGAAAGATATCTCACTGAAGAAATATAATATGCTGAGGTTTATTCAAGTTGATACAGGTAGAATACATTAAGTGGACCCCTTGAGACATTTTCTTCTGTTTGCATACTATAAATTTACTCAGTAAGATACAGAGAATGTTTTGTTTTTATCATTTTTTTTCCTTTCTGCTTTGAAAATGGCATATATAATTATACTAGTTTTCCTCCTCCTTGCCACACCCAACGCAGCCCATGTTCTTTTCATGGGAGACCCCCTTGAAGAAAGACTGAATCATAGGGTCATCTATGGTGAATGGAGCCAAAAGACTCATTTTACTGTGAAGCCAGTTAGGTGTGACAAGTCAGTATACACTTGACTCTCTCGAGTATTCTTTAAATCAGAATTTTTTTAGCGTTGGCCAAAAGAAACTGTGTGTGTGTGTGTGAGCTTATACCAGTTGAATGTACCATAACAATGTGACATAGGCAATAATGAAAAATTGTGTAAAATGTATTTAGGAAGCAGAAAGTTTGAAAGTGCCATGAGTTTCACACCATAGGTTTTATTTCTGTGGGCAGAGTCTGTTTTAAATCTCTGGTCTCAAAATTACATTGGCTCAATAGGAGGCAGATTCTCTCAGCTCCCAACCAAAAAAAGGTGCATAGGTTCAGAATAGTAGTAATCTAGGTTGTGATTTCCCTAGTTGCAACTAGATAAGATTGATATAATCTCTTTTCTTAGGAGTGGAAGCATTGTCTACTTCATGGGAAGAGCAGAGAGCATCTCATGAAACTCTATTCTGTACGAAGCCCCTGCATCAAGTGTTTGCTTCATTTTCAAGAGGAGGAGAAAAGCTGGATTTGAGTCTGACCTAAAATATTGTTTCCATTGGGAACACATTTGATGTGTAGTCCTAGAACTGAAAATTGAAAGGCTCTCACACTTTGCTGGGGGACCATCCTTACTCTAAGAATAGGCACCTGCTTCTTCTTCAGAATGACAAGGAACAAGTTTGAGTCCCATAGGCACTGGAATTCTTGGACAATTCTTCATGATTAATCACCCATTATGCTCAGAATCATCTCTTCTTCTGAGGTATTAATTGATTTAATCATATATTTTAGCCTCAAGACCTTTTTGTGGGGTAATAGGGCATATTTTGTGAAAGACTAGGGAACATTTCGATCTTTTGTGGGAGCTTCAAGTAATTTTGCCCTCATTTTCCTAAGACTTTGAAAATAAAGTTCTTAGGACACTCTAGATATGGAATACATCATATAGGTAAGAAGGGAAATGTGTTCAATCTTTGATTTGGAACAGTGGTCACTGTTTTATAAGGAATATGATGTGCYAGAGTACTATAGATAAAATAATTGGGGTTTTGTGTCTAATATATTGTTTCTTAAAGCATTTTAGTAGAGACTGAATGCATAATCACTGTGGGGGGAAAAAAACCTGTTGGAAATCTTATGAAAAAGGAGGGTCCATTTCCATTTATATCTTCCTTCTCCTCTAGAAACTCCAGGCCCCAGCTGCGTAATCTCACTCTCCATCTTCAGGGCCTTTCAGTGTGTTGTTTCTCCCTGTAACCGTGGGCCTCTGATGTGCTGGTACTTACTTTTTTCTGGCTTAGGGCCAGTTGACAGCTGTGGAAACCTGAGTCTGGCTTATCAGGGTCTCCCATCTCAATTCTTATCCCTCCTTTGCCCAGTTACAGATAGTAGGTGTTACTTCCTGAGGCCCAGAGCTATAGTCAGGCTTCACTCTGAAATGGCCGCTTCTTAGAACCTCATGAACGTGAGACACCTCTGTGTGTTTAAGAATAAAAGAGGGGCTCGGGTTGTGGCTCCACAGCAGAGCATTTGGCCTAGCCCGTGTGAGGCACTGTGTTCAATCCTCAGTACCATATAAAAATAAATAAAGGTATTGTGTTCGTCTACAACTAAAAATTAAAAAACAAAAGACACAGAGATGTTTCCGTTTAAGCTCTTCTAAGCATTTGGTTGGGCTGGCAAAGCACTTAGCAGGGTGCATTAACAGAATCTCCACAATGATTCCATTCAAGTTGAGTAAAGCTTTTAATAAAACAGTCTTGTTCTTTATCAATACCTGTAAATTCTCTTTTAAAGCAGTAGCAAAGGCGACTGTAGCAAGAGCTCAAAAGGCAAGGCAATATTGGAAAGTATTTTTTAACAGATTAAAAATATAAATGTAGAAGATCTGTTTATATATTTTTCTTTCAGAAATAACCCCCCTCCCCCCACCAGGTGAAAGGAAATATTGCACTTTCTGCTCTCATAACTAAGGTGATGGGGGTTCCAGAAGAACCTTTCAAGATTACCAGGAACATCAGGACAAGGGCCATTTAACCTAACTGGGACCATATAAAGACAGTCAGGTCTCCGTGGGAGCTCTCTTCACAATGAAAGCACTGTTGTCAGGTTCCAGCAGAAGTGGAGCATTATCCAAGTAGCCAAGCCCTACTCTTTTTAGCAAAGCTCCTATTCCTGTGCTCCCAGCCCAGTGGCAAAGGCAGCTTCATTCCACCTCTGCTGAATTCTTACTCACAGTGGCCATGGCCTCTCTGGGGGAAGAAGGGCTGAGTTGGAACTAGGGCTCTGGAAGGACTCTCCRAGTACTACGCCTAAGACTCCTACTCTGGGGAAGCTACAGGCACACTGAAGAATAGTATGGCCACCCTCAGAGCTGACATATCCACAAACAAGTGAAGGCTTAACATTTTAAACTTAAAGTCTATGGGAATGTGCACTTCAGTAATTCAGGAACATCAGGACGTGGTCATTGCCCTTTCCCAAGGCCTTTCTTCAATTCCAAAAGAAAGAAATTCTCCCTTTCCATGTGGGCTGTCATGGGAGCAGAGGCCATTCAGGAGTTGTCCACCACCTGGTGGGGCAGTGTAACAGAGGAGCCATTGGGGAAGGCAGCTGGCTTATCCTTCCCCTTCAAGAAAAAGGTCAGAAGCTCGCCCTTCCCTTTCACAAAGATGGGACCTCGTCTCACAAAGCGGAAGCCGTACTCTCGGAGGATGACCTGTGTTTCTTCTACTACCTGCACATGAAGGAGAAAGTAAGAGAGCTTGGGGTTAGAGAGGGAGCCTAGACTGTGCTGGGTTTAGAGGCCTGGGCTGAAAACGGATCCACACRTACTATCTATACTCATGTGACCATTAGGTCCCAGTCAGTGCACATCTTTAATGTTCTATCCCAGACCCCCCAGAGAGCTCCAGGTGAGACCCGTGGAACTCGGGGCAACTGGTCCAAAGCCCTTCTCTAAGGCAGCCGTAGTCCTCTCTTCCAGTAGGACAGCCACAGGTCACCCATGTAGCAGACTACAGTCTGGGAACTTGTAACTCCCTGCTCTGTTCTCTGGGCTCCCAGTTCATGGAGCTTTTCTTGCAGACGCAGGTGACAGACATTAGGATTGCCCCGGAGGAAGTTGCTGTCAGCACCAAATATCAGTTCATACCAGAGCACAAGCTCTTCTCAACTCAAACAGACCTATTTGTTGCAAGTGGCCTGAACCATTTTCTTCCTTCTCTTGAGGCTTTAAAGGCCTCTCTTCCCATGCATGACCTTCACCTCACAGCTTTGCCAGCTTAGCATTCTGCGCCAGCAACAGGAGGCAGTGGTGCAGAGCATTCCTTGTGCTGTTTTTCTCCTATACCTGAGCATGCTGAACATACCTGAATGTTGCCCATGACCCCTGTGGACTCCATCCTGCTGGCCACATTGACTGTGTTGCCCCATATGTCATAGTGTGGTTTCCGGGCTCCAATGACCCCAGCCAGAACCCCTCCTTTGTTCATGCCTGGAGTAGGAGGCATAAAGTTCAGCACAGCCACATGCCAACCTTGGCATTATCCTCCCTCAGAAGCCACCAGTTCCTGTTTTATAAAAATTTTTACCTGACTCCCACCACAAAAGCTCTTGAATATGTAATACCTTGTATTRTTGAAGTCATCTTTAAGCTACTAGAAGACAGAACCATGTCTCCTAATTATCCTGTCCTCACCAAGTCCATGGCAAATGTTAACTACCCCCAATATGCCAAGTGATCTAGTCAGTGCAGTACTGGCCAGCTTCTAACATAGCTAGTACTTCAGGGCTCTGCAACTTCATCCAGGAGTGAGACCCTCTCAGTAGGGAATAGCATGTGACATTAACTCCTTTCAAAAGACAATCCACTCTTGAGGAGAGTCCTTAGCAGGCTCAGAAACACCCTAAAAGTTAAGACAACAGACCCACTTCCTGGGCATGTCAGAAGGAATGCTGGATTATGAGTATGTCATAAGGACAGGTCTAGCTCAACCATTTCATCGTTCAGGTTTTCTTTTTTTTTTTAATATTTATTTTTTTAGTCGTAGTTGGACTCAGTATCTTTATTTTTATGTGGTGCTAAGGATCAAACCCAGGGCCTCGCATGTGCTAGGCAAGCGTTCTACCGCTGAGCCACAACCTCAGCCCTCATTCAGGTTTTCAATTTGAAGAGACTGGGCTAAAGATCCTTCAAATCCTCTCTAGCTCTGTGAGTCTGTGACCTCCCCACCCTAACTACTTTTGGTCTTCCTGAGCCTCTGGTATTTTTCTGCTGATATCCCCAGCACCAGACAGCCAGGGCAGGTGAGCTGGATCCCTTACCTATGCGCAGCATGAAGTTGTTGAAGGACTGATTGTTGATGTTTGTAAGTGTATCCTTCATGGCTAGTGCAAAGTCAGCCAGGTCAGCCAGGTGCTGCCAGCGTTCCTTGTCTGACTTTTCCTCCTGTGACAAGCAGTGGTGAAAGCGTCAGGAGCCACCCAGGCTCTCACTGGGGCAGCCTGCTCTCCTGCTTCCTTCCTATAGCAGCATTTACAAGGGAAGAGGTCTCTACATCTACTTGTTGGTGGCCTTTCCTACGTCCTGGAGTCTGCTGCAGCATATTGCTATGACAAGAGTTCATACAGGTTCCTCTAGCATTATCCTCCCTCAGAAGCCACCAGTTCACTAGGACAYGACTGGCCATGGTAATGGGGGAGACAGACTCTACCCAACTCAGTTGCTTCCTGTCATCTACCTGATCATAACACAGATCTCCACCACCCTAAGCCTGGTCTTCAAGTTTTGGGTTTTTTTTTTTTTGTTTTGTTTTTTTGTTTTTTGTTTTTTTTTGGCACTGGGGATTGAACTCAGGGGCACTCAACCACGGAGCCACATCCCCAGCCCTATTTTGTATTTCATTGAGAGACAGGGTCTCACTGAGTTGCTTAGCGCCTCACTATTGCTGAGGCTGCCTTTGAACTTGCAATTCTCCTGCCTCAGCCTCCAAGCTATTGGGATTATAGGCATGTGCCACCGTGCCCAGCTTTTGTGTAGTGATTTTTGTCTGGATTCCTCAACTAGACTATAAATACTTTAGGGTGATGACCTACCTTCCACCTGCTTTGTTAATCTCATCCAGAAAGTAGAGATGGCAGTAGTACTGACATGGTTGTAAAGGTAGAACAGGGTGATGTTTTTTTTTTTTTCTTTTTTTTAATTTTAACATTTTATTTTTTCTTAGTTCTCGGCGGACACAACATCTTTGTTGGTATGTGGTGCTGCTGAGGATCGAACCCGGGCCGCACGCATGCTAGGCGAGCGCGCTACCACTTGAGCCACATCCCCAGCCCCGAGGGTGATGTTTTAAGGACAGTGCCTGACACAAGGGTTCTACAGGTCTGTATTAGCTTAGCAGAGAGCAGGCAGATAGCCAGTGAGTTCCCAGATCTTCCTTTTAAAGTTTCCATTGTTACAGAATTGTACAGGTTGCTCCTGCTCCCCAGTTATTATGAAAGTATGTATCCTAAAGGGGGCATGGTCACGATGTGCACAAACTGCCTTAGGCATCCGCTGTAGAACTGTAATGGGGATTTGTGTGTGTTCTTTTTCTTGGCTTTCTCAGTAAACTCTCTTATATCTGCACTGCATGTGCAGTATGTGTCTGGGAACCCTTTGTACAACAGTACTCGGTAACTTTTTGTTACACTTCTCATTTCCTACATGCTGGGTCTCTTTTCCCCGGGTAGAAGCCTTATCTCCTCTATAGACAGTTACCTACCTAACAAGCTTATTTACCTTATTGGAGC